AATTTCTCACTTTAATTGAGACCAAGTTGTGAAGTGCAACGATATCTTCGATATTCATACCTTCGATGTCTTTATCTGAGTCCACAATAAAGGGCTCTATTTTTGTGATAGAATTTTCTACAACTGTTTTCTCTTCTTTTAATTTATGCAAAATTTCTTTCAAATTATTTTCGTGTTCACGATTGAATGCATCATTTGTTTGGACACCAAGTTCTGGACAATATTTTGTCATATAATTGAGAGCCGACTCTTCAGCCACTCGTCTCTTATGGTTCGCCATCTCATAGATTCTCAACACTTCGTCTCTTTCCTCTTCTTCCGATACATTTCCTGCAAATCAAACAGACCTTTAACTTAATTAACTATAAAGTTTTATTTTGTTTGTAGTTAAAGGGTTAATGTAAGCACCGGTCTGTCCGACTCCAGCGGCTCGACAGTTGGCTAACACTAAACCGATTTCTGTTTTCAAAAGAGCGACCAATAATTCGTTTATTTCTAATGCTTTGTCGGAGTAATTGAGAGCCAATTCCAGGGCTGTGTTATTGGACTCATATTTTGCCAACAAAACTGTTAATCTAATTATGACAGAAATGCAATACAATTAATGTTGCAAAAGGGAGTTATTAGACAAACCTTTCAGCGTTTTCTTTGCTTTCGTTCAGATGAAGAGCCGAGAGATCGATCTGAGTCTCAAGATTACTGATTCTGCACTCGAGTCTTGAGATTTGCAGTCCATTTGAATGCCTGTCGTTCCCAACTGTCGTGTCGTTTGTATTCTCTTGGCTGTCAAACACAATCCAATCGTTTTCTAACAGTTTCTCCTTTTCTTTATAATTATTCACGTCTTTTGAGTTCATATTCGGGTTAAGAATAGATTTCTTCAAATCTGATTCCATGCTCTTCTCCAAAATGGTCTCATTTATAGGCTCACAGTTGGGATCTTCTTCTTCTTTAATCGTCAAAAACTGGTAATAATTCAAATCGTGTGACAATTCGCCGATAATTGACTGAAGTTCTGTTATTTTGCACTCATATTCCTTACGTTCCTTCAGTTTCTTCTTTTCTAAGTCTTTTATCATTGATATCTTTTCATCCTTTTTGAGTCAAAAATGAATATAAAAACCATTTTGATTTGGAAAAACAATATTTTTCAGATAACATCATATAATATGATTATTATTTGAAAGTAATGGAATCTAACCTTAAGATAAAGTATCTGTTTTTCCAGAAATTCTCGTTCCCTAAGGATTGACTTTAATTTATCATAAATTTGACACTTTTCTTGTTTAATACAGTTTATAGACTCGATGTATAACTAATCAAACAAAATGAGAATTACTTTTTAAATAAAGCAAAACATATATGAAAAGACATACTCTGTTGGCTAAATCCAAGAGTTCGTTCACATTAGACGGCATTTCAATACCCGACGCTTCGATCTGTTTGTGAAGTGATATGATGTCGACCTCGAGGTCATGAGCGCCCGAATCGTATTCCCAACTCTCGTGACCACTGCTGGCAAACGGCGCCTCTTCGGCCACAGAAGACGACTGATTACTAATGGTCTCAAAACTGTTTGTCTCATTCCATTCAGTTATCAACGGTTTCTTAGACTCGCTTAAAGATTGGCATTCTTCCGAAGTGTTCCAATTGTTTTTCATGTCCAATAATTCGGATCTTCTCTTAACAAAGTCAGCGTAAGAGATGCGACCGCCGATGTCTGCCCCCAATTCGCTCATTATCTCATCGACACAACACTCCATTTCCAGTTGAATACACACTTGTCTTATGTCTTCATATGTGATAAACCCGTCTCCGTTTGTATCACAAGTAAAAAATAATCTTTTGATTCTCTCGTCTTCTGGTGTGGAATGTGTTGATTCGGAATCACTTCTATCGCTATAATTGAAGCCTAAATTTGATAACTGATTATCAGAATCGTTGAAATCCATTATGAAATATTTACAGAATAATCATTTAAATTGATCGGTGTTTCTAAATATTATATCAAAAACGAAGCCATAAATGAATGCACAATAAATTACTATAAGAAGCAGACAAATGACAAATGCATTAAATGGTCAATATTTAAGTGTTGCAGAAGTGCTAATCGGCGACAATGACACTCAGTATAATTGACACAATATTTGTAATTCAATGCTTAAAAGGCTTTATAATATGAACACAAATATTTTGCTTCAGAAGAGACGATATTCTGTGAGACAGTGAATGCAATGAATGCACAAGAATTGCGATCAATACTTACCCTACAGTTGCGATAGAGATAGAGTTAGTCTCACTCTATGGGTAAGGAATGAACAGTAGATCCCTGTCTGTCACATCCCTATGGAATGTGTCGGCTATTGATTGGTCTCGTATTCAAACCAAAGCAATAATTGGCACTAAAGAATGCATCAAATAATAAAAATTCCTATATTTCTAATGGATGTTATAATTGAAATAATAAATAGTTTGAGAGAAAACACACGACAATTGATTGTTAATGAATGAATGGCACGTCTTTTATTTTATTTAATAATCAATACTATTATTGAGCAATAGTTGTCCCAAATATCGCTTACTTTGATATTATTATATAATCCTTTTCTGAGATATTTTTAAAAATCTGTATACAGAATTATATTTTCATAGTGTTCCGATTAATAGTTTATCATGTTGTTACAACTTTCATATGCTTTTAGGCTATAGTTTAATAATCGAGTCACATGAGTTTTTTTATAATGTTTTTATATACGGTAAATTAAAAAAATATACTAATTATAGAATATTTTATGTATTAATAAAATTATAACAAATAAAGTGCAGAGAAATCTCAAACGTAAAATGCATTACAAATAAGTGATACAATAAATAACAAGTAAAGTTTGGATGTATGTGTTTGTATCACTTGTTGTAGACTAGACTAGATTTCATCTGGCATTTCAAAAAAGCCTAATTTAAGGCAAGTTTTACACTAAAAATTGTAATTAATTTAAATTAAACTAAATTTAAAGAATACTTAAAAATCCAATTAACTCAAATGACAATAAAAATGGTGTAAACCAGAAAAGATGATACAATGATTGCACTTAAAAATAATTGATTGATTGTAAACGTTTTGAGTAATAAAGTCCGGAGTTGTTGTCGACTCAACTCCAGAAGTGATCGACTCATCGATGAGACGATTATTTAGTTGTGTTTACAATATATCACATAAAATGTTGTGATTTTTAACAATTTATCTAAAGAATCAACAAATGGCTGCCAGCGATACCACTAGACTTCATCGAAATCACCTCCAAGTGATATCGTATTCTCTCCAAGAGGGCGGAGGCGCCAGATATATACGCCTTCCCTTATGCATGAATGTGACAACTCCTCGATAGCCAGTGCGCGGAACTCCAGACTAAATCATAACGAACCCAATGAGTGCCATAACTCAGTAATCGAGTGAAGAAATCAATACAATACCTTGAAGTCATCCATCAAACCCAGAGCTTTGGCTGTCTTTTTATATCCCTCTTTTGTACTATAAGTGACACGAATGGAGCCCTCACTTGGAATATCAGATCCTTGTAATTGTTGGAGAGTTACTGAAGGGCTTCCGTACACTTTCTTAACCCATAAAACGTCATAATTTTCCTAAATTAACACATAATCAAACAATTGTTTAATCTAAGGCTTAAACTCGCCAACAAAAACAGGACTTACTTTTAATAAATATGTTAAATTAATTTGAGTGAAAGGCACCGACTGTTCATTGAGTTTAATATATTTCAAATGCTTCTCATAGAAGAGACCACTGAATCAAATGAAAAGACAATCATTAAACTGGTAACAAGTGTTGGTGTAATAATGATTCAATACTTGCTGACTCCTATTTTCCCAAAAGTTTTCGCGCGGGACATCTCAGGCCTAATACAGGCCCTGCCTTTCCTCTGTGAGGGCTCTCGGATCCAATCGTCCCAAAAACTGATGACATATAAAAATCACTGCATTATTACAGCCATCACAACAGGGTTTAGAGGCAAGACATACGCTTTAGGCCAAGTGGTCTGAAATTCAATCCAAATATCTTTGGTTAACATCCATCCGAGTCCAGGAAAGAAGTCAGATCTGTATAAGAGGTCTGTTGAGAGATTGGTGCGGATGTGAGTGATTAGTAACGGCAATAATGGTCGTAAGAAATGGTTGAATACCGGGTTCGTTGGAGACGAGGCCCTCCTTTCCGTTGTCATTCCACGCACTGATGCAATACAGAGTGGGATCTGTTTTGAGTAAAGGGTAGAGAGCTCTGAAGTATTCAAAAAAGTCGGGCGCAATGTCTAAGTCGTCTTCAACGATGAGCACTGTGTCGTAATTAAGGACATGAAAGGTCTGATTAAGAGCCCACCCGTAATGGCGCGATATCTTGTAATATCCCTTAAATTTCTTAGCCTTTCCAACGAGTCCGGGAATGTCTGATAAATCTGGTTGTCTGATGAGTGTCACCTGATCTCCATATGACTGAATGACTCGACGGGTGGGCTCATGACCGCAGTCTTGTGAAACAACAATTGGAAAATTTCGTGGATTTGGACGATATTTGAGTAATTGATCCAAATTTCGCTTAACTGTGACTCTATTGCAGGCAAACAATAGGACACAAATGATGGGATCCTATGTTTGCACAAAAGTATCAAATATTAGGTAAGCATTGAAATCAAATCGTTTGACACAATATATGATTGATTGGCAAACATATAATGAAGCGAAAGGTGTTTACAATCAAAAAAGCAAACAATTTCTCACTTTATTAATACTAAGGGTCCGATCCAATGATAAAGCGCTCGGATTTTCGGCCAAAATGTGTTTTATGTCTTTTCCAGTTTTGATTATTTGTTGTCTGATATTCTTCAAAGTCATTAGTAATACTTCATTGGACTTCAACTGTTGTCTCAATTCATTCTCGAGGACATCGACCTCTTTGTTCACTTCTTCGTATTTGAAGACATACTTAACATACAAATGAGACACAAATGAGACACAAATGAATATATGAATGGCTAATATGTGTGAAGACCTACTTTAATGGTATTTGGTTTGTGAACGAATAGATAGCATAGAACTGCTGTCCAACAGATGAAAGACAGACATCCGATCAGATAAAATGTTTTCCTTCGCATAGTTTAAGCATCGCTTTCATCCGAGTCTTCAATATCTCAAATACTTCAGATGACAGGCGCTGACCATAGCTTCATGTGTGACACTAACGGTTCTCATTCAGACAAAACAATTAACATATTTTACACGTAATTAACTCAACAAAACAAATATAAGTCATTCACACGTTTAGCACTAAAAAACTCATTTCTGACACTCAATGCTAACAATAATTATATTCATTTGATTGAAGAATAAGTCCACAAATAAACAAATAATTGAATGTTATTTCACATGAAAACGACAACATTTTTGTGTCAATTAATTGAATATATAAATTGATTTTTCTCACTATATATTCAAAAGAAAAGCTAAAATAATTGCATTTTGATGACAAACATGTAAAACATTTTATTATACATTAATAACTTATTAATAATAAGACTTATAACGAAAAATCAATTTCATTGAATAAAATTAATCATAACTTTTAAACTAGTTTTGTTTGAAACACATGTGTATATGAATTATAAGTTTCAATAATTTTCATCAATACTTTGGGAGGTAATCATTATTTGTATACTAACTTAATAAATAATATACTATTATATAAAAGTTAATCAATTAATAGATAATTGACTGTAAGTTACAATGAAAAAACGTGTGGAAATGAGTGATTAGTTTTATTAATAGTAACTAAATATGAATTATTTGAAGGTATGATACGATTGTATGGATTGTATGGCAATAATGCCTTAAATGTAATGCATTTGTAATGCATTTGTAATGATACTTAAATTGATATCAAATTAATTGTAAACAAGTGTCGATGTCATCACAATTGACGGCAATATCCAATACATTATAACTATAACTATCATTAATATAATTATAATAATAACTAGATATATACTTACAATTGGTTAGGTATGAACCAAAATTAAGTTAAAGTGAACCGGTTACTAATTTCAAAATTACGGTTAAATACAATTGAAATGTATTTCAAACTAAATGAGTGTTTGTTTACAACTTATTTGTATCGATATTAGGACTAAACGATTGAATGAATGAATAAACAAAATAAATAAATGAGAAATGAAGCCAAAGTCTAACTAAATGTTAGATTAACTGATGAATTGAATTAATGATTAGTTTATAAAATATTCAATTCATTGAATTGATATTAATATCACATTTGAATTGAAGTCCAATACATAGCATGACATGCATTACAATCAATACACTATTGGTGTGTGTATTGTATTGTCACTGCAATGCTATCAATGAACACGAATAGCATTGCATTCAATGCATTCACTCACACACTGTGCCAGACATGCACTGCACTGCTCTCTCATCACTGCATTGCTATCATCTCTATAGATGTCACCATTCATTCAATTCATACACATTTATACAGTACTGTATTATACTGTAAAGTTGCTTGGTGCAATTCAATGCGTTATATAGAATAACTTACAATTCATATATTTAGCTAGACATCTTCACATCTCTAAGTTAATTAATTAATAGAAAATGCAATATACAGTAAAACACATTTAACAAGTTTTCACTTGTCATTAAAACACATTTTTTTTATTTTATTCTAAACTTTACTATTTCTAATTAAATTACAATTTATTTCATGTGATTCACGAAAAACAATGCATTTTATATATTTTTGATACAAACTCTTGTCTCTCAATGCAGATATGAATATTGGAAACACTGATACTCGCAGTCATCTTATTCTTCATAGTCGTGTCCATCCAAGTGCTCGATATGACAGCGTTTCCAGTTCTACAGACAATTACAATCCATTGACAATCACTTATAAGTTAGTCCTTAACTCAAGTATGGACTCTTGGTTTGTCTATTTGTGGTGCATTTCCCTCGTTGACAACCCATTGCATTGTATGTGTGCATCAGTCAGTCCACTACTATAACTTTGTATCAAAGAGATGAAAATAAAATTGTTAAAAGAGGTGACAAATTGTTGCAATCAATCCTTTGAATTTATTTTTCTTTTCATGTATTTTGTGCATTATCTTAGTCTATTTTATTTTAATTTAATTTATATTTTATAACCAATATGTAAGGAATAAGTTAATCCTGTACCTTTTATGGTGGAGATATAATACCTTTTCTATAATAAGGATTAAAATAAAAATATTTGTTCCAATAATTAAGATTCCCATTACATTACAAATAAATTGAATATCTTATATAAAATCAAACAAATCAAAAGGATGAAAATATTCTCGTATTAACTGTAAATAAAAATTCAAAAGTGTATTATTTCTTAATTCAATGACAATATTAGGAAATCTTATAAAACATAATTTAAGTCATATATCAAATTATACGGTACATTGTAACAAAGATGAAAGGATTTGACAATATTTAATTCATTAACATAGACTCTATGTCATAGAGTATAATATAGCACTAATACTGGTAATGATTGAATTATCAAATATCCATTAAAGGCTTTATACAGTACAGTACTCTTACCGTATTATTGAAGACTCCTCTAAAACAATTCCTGGGATTCACTTTAAATCCCAAACCCAGTCCCAGACAAAGCGTGAGAGCCCCTTTACTTTTAAATTATTATAAAATATTTAATTTTTATTAATTTTTTACAAAGTATTATAAAGATTTTATTGTTAAATTAATTAATAATTATAATTACATATAAATAGCAAATAGCTCACACACACACACACACACACACACACATAATGTTATTATACCTATAAACAAAATTTATTAAAAGAATACAAAGATGATATTTGTAGATGATATATTTTGAGATATGTATGCTCTTTTAAATTACACTAAAATCTTAAAATGATTAATTAATTAAATTATTTGTTGATACGAAATAATCCTTATCATTAATTATTTTATTTAAAAACTTATAATAATAATAAAAACAACTAATATCAATATCGTTATACAGAGATTAGGATTTAAAACTAATATTTCAGATATAACATTTATAAAAATTTCACGTTAATTTACTTTTTATTTAATTCACATGTATTTCCCTCATTACGAGCTTATTATGTAATTTAAATAACAAATTTAAAGCCTATGCCCTTAAATCCTATGCTAAATATTATAATTTCACAAAAAACACATTTCCAAATCCCGGCTTACAGTGTTTCAAGAAAAGTGAAAAAATGAGTGAAAATCTAATGCAATAACAAAACTATTGGGAATAAAACCACTGATGCCTTAAATTTTCGTCGAAAGCTTTTTTAAAATTCACACAAAGTTTTAAGTCAAGTGCCAGAAAAACATTAAATTACAAACAATGGCAATAAAAATAATTTTTCGATTTTAATCTCAAGCTTAAAATTCAAAAGCCCTTCAATTTTTAAATCAATTTTATACAAAAGGTGAACAAGAATTTGAAATTTTAATGTATACTTAAAAATACATAAAAGAGTCATGATGTTTTGGACCATTGGATTTGAAAGTGAATTCAATATTGTCTGAGGATTTTAAAGTTGTTGATAATGCTAATAATTGCTTACTTTTCAATTTCACAATCTTACAATTTTTACTTTCAATTAAAAACTTATATTTCTTAAAAGAATATTGTATTTATAAATACATTATATAAATTTTTATAATTATAATATATTGTCAAAACAATAAATATAATTTGTCAACTTTCAAATACTTTTTAAGTATTTACTTATAAATTATATTATTATAAGTTATAATTGATTATAAAAATATTTACTGTAATGCAAATAAAATTTTAAGTTTTTAAGGGAATTTTGTATTTTTTTAATACTGTATTTCCTTTTATTTTAAATGCAAGCAAATATAATTCGGAAATGAAAATTGTATTTCAAATACTTTACTCAATAGACAAAAGTTCAATAAATTGAAAATATTTTCAATTTTTAAAACTTGTTTTTTGTTCAAATCATGTAGATTTGGATTGATGCTCAAGTTTAGGTCAACATATGAGCTCTAATGCCTTTTACGGTCCACTACTGTTTGTTTGACCACATAATTGACCCCGAACGTTGTGAGTATTATAAAATGTTGATTGAATTGAATCCAATATTTATTTAAAGATTCCTTATCAACAAATGTTTTGCATGAATGATAGCAAGAATTTTAGTTAATTCTAGCTCTCATTTTGCTTATGCAAGTAATCATGCTTATTGTTAGCAAAAAGTTTGATTCAATAACAACTCAATTACTATTTTTGTCTCTCTTTTTATATATCAATTTTAGGATATTTTTGATATTGAACTGGTTTTTCACTTTTTCTCAAAATATATAATAATTATTATTAAATTTTTGATATAAAACACATAAATAGATACTAAATGTTTCAATAATTTTCCAATTTCCAGATTATATGCATTTATGAAAATATTTATGGAATTCTTGTTTTGATAGTATATTTCATAAAACGTTCAAAATGTTATTTGTCGCTAATTTTCTTTGTTAGGGATATAGTCTGATTGACTGCTTATTGGGTTTCTATTCAAAAGTGATTCAAATATTAAATTTAGTATTTTTATTGATGTGTACTATGAATAAATAGAAACCTTTTTCCAGTTTCCAAAACTCAAAATCGGTTTTTGATAACTAATAACCGGATTTCTTGCCTTTTAATGCATAAGAAATGCAGAGAGAGAGAGAGAGAGAGAGAGAAAGAGAGAGAGATTTATATATTTTGAGAAAAAGTGAAAAACCAGTTCAATATCAAAAATATCCTAAAATTGATATATAAAAAGAGAGAGAGAGAGGAGAGAGAGAGAAGTTGAAGAATCATTGAATACTAATTCTTTATTCATATTCTTATCTATTCTACAATTGAATCTATAATATAAACTAAGGATATATGAATTTATAAAAAATATTTTAAAAATTCTATATTACATTAGTGGAAAATTTTATTATTTAATAATTAAAATTTTTTGGAAATATTTCACATTTCTAAATTATTTTCAATTAAATTTATGTAAATTTTATTCCAAACCAGTATTAAAGTTTACAAACCTTTAAATTATAGACTATTTTTGATAAGGTGTAATGTGTTATACATTTACCATAGGTTTCTAAATAGGATTCATTTAGTAATCAAATAATTAATGATAAAAAATACGTTTAAATAATTATATGAAATATAAGAAATTCCATCAAATTTTTGATGCCTTTTCTCGTTTAGTCTTAAGACAAACCAGTTATTGACTGACAGAAACTCATAACAGAATAAGATTTAGGTGTGAATTAAAGTAGTTATTATTTGTTGACCACAATCTCTACAATAATGTAAGTGTTGTTTAACATATATTTTGAATTTTTAATTAATATTTAAATGAATATAATTTAAAAGCCATTATTGAATGAATGAAATATTTAATTCATTTTTGCCAAAAAACTTCAAAAAGTAAAATCAAAAGAAAGGAATGAAGTATTGGATTGAATTGAAGTGAACACTAAAGCCTTATAAACACTTAACTGGACTCGAGTTCGTTGTCCTCGACATCGAAAAAGCGACGAATAATTCACTGAAAAGAGACAAACCGTGAAGTAGTGAAGGATTGAAAACGTAAAGCACCACAAGATTCACAAAATAATAGACCGACTCATCAGCCATTCCACAGTTAAGATATTTCTTACTATTCAATCAATTCATTGGAGCTGTTGGTTTTGCAATAAGGAAGAGATCTAAATATATGCCATATTTTCGTCATTTTATACATTTTCATCATTTTTTCTAATCTCAGTTCAGGTCATCATAGCATAGGACCATATTTTCGCATACATTTCGAAACCTCATAGAAATGAATTGTTTTATCATTTACTTATTCTTAATTTGGTTAACAGCCAATACAAGTGTAAGTATTACAGTATACTGTATAATTTGTACATAATACATGTATTTTTAGTTGTTTCTTATTTCTTATCTCTGTTTATATTGTTTGAACAAATATTTCAGTTAAGCCTTTCAATTGACAATTCACTTGACATTACAAATGAAAAAGAAAACACAATTGTGAATCCTATTAAGAGTAAGAATGTATATGATATGTATATTAGTAAGAATTTGCATTCATAATTGCTAATTCATTCATTATAGCTTCCGTTGCGTGTAATAAGACATCACTGGAAGTTGCGTTCAATTTTGAGAAACCATTTTATGGTGTCATTTATTCAAATCAGATCTTTTCCAAGTCTGCCTCTCAGTGCAGATCCTATGGCAATGGCTCTCAGGTGATTCACTTCATAACCAATAGCCATGAATGCGGTGTCAGATATTCAGAGAATGAGGTATTAATACACAATAATAGCCATAAATAATATTTTATTGCAAATATAATTACATTTATAGCTATCATTGTTTATTTAATGGTTATTAACATTTGTATTTGTTTGTCAAACGAGACGTCGGAATATGAACTCGTTTTATACATCCAAAACGACCGCAATATTCAGCAATCAAGCGATGAAAAAATGGAAGTCAAATGTTGGCCACAAGAAGTTCAATTGAGAAAAGTGGTGGCACTGGGAGGTCCCCAACAAAGCAAGTTAAGCGCAAAGAGTTTGTATGGGGGCGCAGAGGTAGACTTGCAGGAGATGAGTGTCCACAACTACTCTACCCTATCATATATGTCGGAATCGCTGGAATGCCGTATGGATGTGATGAGGGGTAGAATACCTTTCCTTAAGCCCATTGACGGCTTCATAGACTTGGGCCAAGACGTGACTCTTCTCATCAGAATTAAGGAAATCGGTAACAATTATATCAATATTTCTCATTATATTTATTCAATTTTTTGCGGATAAATGTTTTCACTTGACTTGACTTGTCTTGAGATGGTATCGACTCAATGGTCTCCAGATGTTATGCACACGAAGGCTCACATGCGGTCAAACAAGAACTCACTAATACTGACGGGTAATCAATGTTTATAAAACTTTTTTTTAATAAAATTCAATTACATTCAACTCAAATGAATTTATAATACATACAGAATAAATCACTACTTGATTTCTATTAACAAAAATACATTTTAAATCAAAGCATTCAATTCGTAAAACATAGCATTCAGTAGTACAGTATTATATTAGCCCTGTACTTTATAGTGTACAATATACCGTACAAATATACAGTGGAGTAGTGTATAATAGTTTTCAATCAAACAAGAATAAATTGAATCCAGATTTATTGAATTTATTGTCATTCATGAGTCAATAATCTTAATTCAAAGTCATTATCACCCGTAAGATAAAAAGATTCGTTTCATTTACTTTCATCTATACTATAGAAAAAGTAATTTAAATAATTTTTTCTCTATTTATTTATATGAATTATTATTTTTGTTTTGCTACACTTTTTTGAGGCAATGATTCTCTGAACAAATCCATCATTTTTTCAAACTTTTCAAAATAGTTTTGAGAAATTGATTTTTCTACTTTTAATTGAATGTAAAACAAAATATTCAAAGCACTACAGCATTATCCATGACTTAACTCAACCACAACTTGATTGTGATATGAAAATATTCTTGTTTTCAGATTGTATGCACTAAGACTTAGAATCAGTAAATCCTTTAAACTTCTTAAAAAGTAATCAAAGGATCGCTAAATTATTGTTATTATTATTTCAAACTAAAGCTCAATAGTGAATGGTTTTATGTAATAATGATTGATAGAAACACAATATTTTTGGATTATATTTCTAATGTATAGTTAATTATGTTTTTCTATCAATGCAATCTCTATTTTTCTTATGAATACATTTTATTAGATTGAGATCTAAACAGACCAGAGAATTACAATTAAAATAATCTCTTAATATATCAGCAAAATTGATCTAAAAATTACATCTTAGACTAATTAACGCCAATTTATTCAATAGGTGTTCAATCGATAAGAGTATTTTGCCAAATTTCCAACTAATGCCAAATCCTCCCTCGGATTTCAAAGTCTATTTCACAACATTTCCCGCATTCAAATTTCCCGACAAAACAAATCTTAACATTCAGTGCACTCTTATTATATGCAACAAAACATGTCCTCAGGTAAGGATCACAAGTAATATCTAATTTTACTTTTTATTGAGACTTAAATGTAAGATTAGTTTAAACAAATTTTCAGCGATTTGTTTATAAACTTTCGAAAATGAATTCTTAATTTGAATAATTGTGTGCATTAATTGTGGGCAATAGTGGGTTTAGTCATTGTGTGGTAAAAGCTTTTGTATGCGATTGTAAGCAATTCATATATACATTGTATGCAATGTGTGCTTCGAGTGCTTTGGGTCAGAGCTCGCAATCTTTCAAAAGTTATTACTCAATACTCAATGCAATAGTCGATGCAATAGTCAATAGTCAATAACTTTCTTTGAATTTCTTTGGTTTGAAATAAAATGGGAATAAATGATAGGTTTAGTCCAACTGTAGCTCTCACTCTAAACACTGGTATTTTAGTTTCAATTCGCAAATATATACGTTTAGATTGAATGTGACAACACTAGAGGCATAGGTATTGGGTATGGTATGAGTGGACCAGTGCTTCACCGAATAAAGAGACTCGCATTGCATGGAAAGCAACGAAAGCAACGAAATGTGTTGAGGGCTATAATTACGGGAAGAGAGCTGACGGCTAACAACAACAATGAATACAACTCTCGGCACTCACTGTCAGGCATCACAATCACAAGCATCACAAACTCGCACCACCTCACAGACCAACACTCCATCCCTGGCCTATCCATCCCTGGCCTACACTCTCACAAAGCCATCACAACTATCGCACGTAAGACAAGCGATACGTTTGCTACTATTTGATGCAATAATTACTTCTCTTAGCCATACGTGAGGTATATATGGATACGAAGCCATCGGACCAATTGCACCGATCGCACCAATCAGACCGATGGGCACAATGTCTTACTCGACAACTGGTGCTTACGATCGCTGCCCTCATCACAATGACAATTGCGGTCATGTCTGCGCTAACCATCACTTGCGTCACCAGCTATTGTCCCCTCAAACGCAAACTACTACTCTTCAGTGACAAATCCACTCAATCACACACTTCTGCATATGATATGCAAACAAAACACTATCCAACCCATCAAACCAGTGCCCGCTCTCTACCAGTCCTATCAGCCCCTCCATCTAAGCCTTAACTCAAATGTTCAAACAGTTTTTGATTTTAATATTTAATTTATCAAAACTTTCTCATTTCTTAACTATTTATTGACATAAACTTCACTTTTCATAAGTAACTCAAAAAGCATTTTATATTGAAATTCATGCATAAATCAAATAAACAAACAGAAAGTGTGGGATATTTTTG